GAAGGAATACGTAGAGAGTATAGGAACATTCGTCTAGACATGTGGTTATTGTGGCGATTCGTATATGTAACGGCTAATACAATTATGACTAGTATAATTGTTAATCACACAGGCCGGAATAGCCCATAGCGTTAGAGGATGAGTTGCCCCTTCGATGTGTTAAGATATCCAGTGCAAATGATTTTTTTTTTGTCATACCCGCAATCATGTTCCTTAAACAACTTATATAATATCTTATCAATGGGTATAGTTAAAAAAGGAATTTTAACAATTATTAAATGCATTACTAATACATAAATAGCAACACAACACAGTCTCGAACCCTTTAACGATGGATAAAATTTTGCGCTATAATTTCGGTCGAGCATTGAAAAACCAACTACCGTATTCGAAAAAGTAAGCGATCAACTATTAAACTCTACGCATTCTTATTATTACCTATATATAACAATAACTTCCAATTCCGTATTTTCTTTATCAGAATTTCTAACTCTTATCTAAATTCCCTGTTATGCCGCACGTACTACATAGTTTCGGACAGTGCACATTGTCTCAATGATAACTTAATAATTGTACCAACTGCCACTAGTACTACCAGTAACAGTTTTCGAATATGTATGTAAAGGAGAAAAGGTTTGATAGATAAATTAGTAAACCTGCAAGTAAACTCTCTAAACCATTCACTATCGCTCAGGAAAACGCCACGCAGAAATAATTGTCGGGAGGATTAATACTTTTTTTTTTTTGTTTAATTTTCAAATACCAATATTATTTTGCCTATCAAATTATATAACCCGATCATAATTTAGTCTGCAATTCACGCTGGCATATATTCTGCTTATATACTATACTGACAAAGTTGAATCTGGTCAAGTTTAGCTTCTTGTAACAACCTGTCTTAGCCTTATTTTTACAATAATATAATCACATATTACCCTGCCATTATGTTAGCAAACGATTCCATATTTTCTCTGAAATATTGCCGAATCTTATTTATTCCAGTATTTGATAGAAGTGAATACACATATTTACTTGGTGACGTTGTGGTTGGTTAAGGAAGAATGGATAAAATAAATTCCAAACAGACAAATGAAAGACATATTCGCCACGTACAGGTAATTGTGCTAGATCTCCTACAACTATAACAATGTCTCCAAATGCTTGAGTACTGTTGTGGATCGATGCAAATAAGTTTAAAATAGTGAAGCTGAGACCATTGAGATTTCATCAATAATAAGCGTTTCAATTGGTTGTTGAAATCTTTGTTATAAAACTTCTGTCTGGTGGATCCGTAAAGCTGAATGTATAGTCGAACCACTTACATTTAGAGCCGCGACACCTTGGGTGCTAAGAGAAGGCAATTGTTTGCATCAAATAGTTGGCTATGATGCTGGCAATGTATGATTTGCCTGTTCCTGCAGAACCCGTTATAAAAAAGTAAGGATATTTTTTTTTCGATATTGGACCAAGGTTTTAGATAATGAAGAGGTATTGGTCTCTGGTAAGGTAAATCGAGCGTGACAATCTTTGATAGCATAGGTGGTAAGGGAATTAGGGAATTAATTTGGGAGTGCAGTATTCGGTAATGTTTGGACTCACAATGAAGCTGAGTTTATTGAGCAAATTTATTATAAAGCTGTGAAATTGATTTGGGTTTGAGATTTATAGCTGGAACTTGATATTTTGATGGCTGATTCTATATTAGGACTTAAATATTCACGGTAGGTTAGAAATTTACCGAGTAGTTCTTTTTCAGATCGACAAGACAATGTGCAAAGCAATTGTTGATAAAAAAAAATGGCTCTTTATCATCAACCTTCAAGTGTCTAACAACAATTGGAGAGTGACAAAATTATTAAGTTGGTCTTTATAAATTTCTGAATTTGCTGAATTTGTGGATTTGGTAAAAATAATGTAATTCCTAAAGTAATCCAGATAAGTGATTTGTTGAAAAAGCGAATCTAATGGACGAGCAAAATATTTGTCTATGCTGACCCAATAAGGATTATCGTCAGCGTCATCTACCAAACAAATAGGTCGGATGGCAAGAATATACATCCATTGAACGTAGACATCTGGCTATTACATGTTCTCGATACTTATCGTCATCTGTTACAGTAAAAATATGAGTTGGTTCTGGTTTTACTACATACTTTGTGAGATATTTTCCCGGGCCGCGAGAAGTGACATATTGAGCATTCACGTGAGCATCCCAATCAGTAAAGTTTCGGGATGATATAGGACTATCCGCCGATTTTCAGAAGTGATACAATGATATACGTAGTGTATTTGTAATACGTCACTGGAGAGTAACGCCTTGGAAACCGCGTTTGCATTGCTGTCCTGATGAAGCTGGTCCGCCACATCGCTGAAGGCTAGTATGAATTTGATGCTTAACTACTTTTTCATATAGCTCTGTTTCATTTTATTTGTCAGGTCGAATAATGTGTTCATCTATCATACTATCAATCGATTTGGTAACCCAAAGGCATATATGAACGTACGCAGCGCCTCGATTTTGGAATTTAATTCTTCAAAAAAAAGTAGTAATTCACCTATCTACTGATTGCTGATTTCTTCATACATATTTTTTTAAAATTTGCTTAAGATTACAAATTATAACGTGGTGTGTAAGGGCCGATTAATAGGTGGAGTATCAGTGGATTTTAAAAATTTCTTCGAGATGAGTCCATTTACCTTCCGCCATGGAAAGCGTAAGAAATAATGATGGTAGACCTAATGTTCAATCATAACACTTATGTAATATTTTTCATGAAAGTACGAATCGCCAGTTCGAATGAATGTGGGTAATGTAACTGTTTTACTTTCATCAATAATCCAGTTTCCGGTGTAAATGCTTCGTGTGATCAATTCAGATAGTATCGGTTTGTACATAATAATAAATCTTATCCAAATCCGTGAGCCGTCGCAATACCAACATAGTAAATTACGTAGAAAATTAATCTGATGACTCATAGCATATTCCTATATTCTTGTAAATATTTTTATAGCAAAGAAATAAAAAAATTTTTCTTATTTACTTCGATGCACCAAATTTTACATCATATCCAATGGCTAATAACAGTCTCTTTCGCTACGCTTACCCTTTTGTGCACTTTAACTGATACAGGAAAATGTAAAGTTTTGTTCTCATTTTCAACACTTATAAATAAGGTAACACTTGGAAATACTAGAAAAAAATTTGTTTATACTATATCTCCTTTCTAATAACAAAAAGAACATGTTCATTCACCTCGATTCAACTGCCGTACATGTGCTTAATACAGTATTAACGTTCGAACAGAAATTAAACCAGAATATCAGTTACTAATAGATTCCTAAACTTCGCAAGCGAACCCATTACCATTCATTTCGATATTACTATGTACGAGCATTATTACACAATCATAAATTACATTGGCTCAATGCTTGTCAACAGCAACCCACATTCTAACACTAATAAGGGGCGAAGCCCCAATAAATTATGATATACTTTGAAAGAAAGTTCAATTCAAAGATCCCATAAAAGATTTTTCAGAGCGATCCTAAATTTGCCAATAAAGCACGTCCAAGTGGAAGTTTACATTCCTAAAGACAACTACATTCTCTCCTCTCCCAATGACATAATAATAATAGAAGTAGTTGGTACATTAACATAACAATCCTAAACTAAATGTACCACTACCGTTGATTCTTGTCAAATAACTATTTAACCAATATAGTACCCTCCATCTATGATTATACTCCGACTGTTGCATTCTCTGTAACATTACATTCAAGATTACGTTGATATTCTATCAATACTTTTGTCAGACAACTGTGTATTGTATACGCATCTTGCTTAATAAGATATATATGAGTTAAAAGAACATTAGTAGTAGTGGATCAATAAAAATCTAAGGTAACTATTTTTAGTATCACAGATCATGTTACACAGGATTGTCCACACATCATCACCCCTACTATTATCGCCATCTATCACGACCTGAACATTTTTGAAACTCTGTAAGCAATGGATGATTATGATTTTATTGATTTGTCTTCGAATCTCTCAGCTGATTATGAGAAACTGTATGAAAGCGGCAAATATACCGATATTTCAATCCATGTTGGAAAGGAGCCAAATAGCAAAGTATTTTTCGCTCATGCGGTAATATTATGTACAAGAAGCAAATTCATTGGGAATAGCCTGACCGAGAATAAAGAGACGCTTAAAGAGACTCAAAAAACAGTCATAACGTTTGAAGATGTGAAACCTGATGTTTTCGAAATACTGCTCAGGTAAATTTTATAGAATTGTCAACGTTGTCAATGCTGGTAATACTGTAATACTCATTGTAATCTTAACGATTCATCGTAGATATATTTACACTGGGCGAATGTCCTACGATTCATGCACGAATATAGGTTGGATTAGCCTTTTGGATGGATCAAGCAAGTTTGAATTGTTTGATCTCCTCACTGCCATTGAAACTTATTTGATTGATCAACAAAAAGAATGGATTCAACAGAATATTCTCACAGTTCACAAGTATGCTGCATCCACAACTTCTTTAAACAAACTTCTGGCCTACTGTAATCGAATCATGGTTTTCCGCCCAGATATTATCTTTAAATCAAACGATCTTGTAACCTTATCAAAGGAGACTTTGATTACTCTTCTCAAGAGGGATGAGCTAAACATAGATGAAGATGATATTTGGATGTCAGTCATACATTGGGCCATTAAACAAGTGCCTGAACTGGAGCTTGGAAATGATCCAAATGACTGGTCATCTAATGATACTAACACAATTAAAGATATCATTGCAGATTGTATTCCCTACATAAGAATTTTCAGTATCTCCCCTTCCAAGATTGCTTTATATAATGATTTATTACCAAGTAAATTGCGCCGTGACCTATTAAATTTTCATATGGGTGAACAATATAAATCAAATACTCACATTCCACCACCAAGAACAAAAGGGTCTGAGTATGAGGTGGAGGAGAAGACGGAAATGAAATTGGAAATCACAGAAACCACTACTGAGACCAGCAATTCAGGTACTACTAACAAGGTTGAAACAACCATCACCAAAGCCATTGTTGCCACTGAGACTCAAGCTGTTGAGGAATCCAAGACTGCTACTAGAGAAGTCAGGACGGAGGGGGGTGCCAGCAAGAAGAGTATCATGTCCCAATTTATATCTTCTGTGACTACCTCCATCTCTGGGAAACCTAAGAAATCATTTGTGAAGTAACAACAGAAAAAGGTTTCTTGATTAATTTATCTTAGCAAAAAGATTTATGCTTGCCTTTTTGCATAATTTATTACTGTATTATGTACACTCGCCTGCATATGCAAAGCTTTACATATTAATATACAATAGTTTGAGTTCAGTAAGGGCGGGTTGAACGATTTTATATTTAACCACATTACAAAATATGAATAATGTGATTATTTATCTTGTATGATACTACATAACATAACTTTATTTAATTTAAACTTATAAATATGGAGGTACTGCTCACAATTTCAAAATAAAGCTTATGAATAACTAAGTTCTAATAATTGCACTGACCATTGCTAGTTAGAATATAAAGAACTATTCTATTTAGCAACGTCTTGCTGAAGATATGATCAAATGATTGGAACGATGATTTTTAGCTACTATCTTCGACTTGTATTTATAATTATCGTTTCACTAAACTGTCCAAGTTTACGGATAAATGGGGTAATTTGTGTTCTGTCCAAGTTTTCTCCTTATTCGGACATCTAGATTATCTGCCCAAGTTTTTGGATATATCTGGACAATCTATTTTTAACTGTCCAAACTTTTGGATATAAGCGGATAGTCTGTGTTTCTCGGATTTCGTGTGCTGCGGAATCGGAGATTTGAGCGGAAATCACGTCGTACTTAGGCCTCGATCCTGACAATTATAATTATAGAATTTATAGTATGAACATATATGATTAGTTATCCAAGATCATAGGCACAGATTTACTCTTACAGTATCAGGATCTAAACGATTACGCTGAGATGTTATTGTCTGTCCTGCAACTGAAAATGCTTGTTCAGAAGCAACACTTGTTGCTTGAACTGACAAGTAATCCCGTGCCATAAGTGATAGAATTGGATACACACTTTGTTGAGCATGCCACCAAAGCAGTGGATCTACTTTATCTTCCAATGGAGCTTAGCCATTCATTTGTGTACATGGAAGAATTGTTGCTTGAAGTAAGGATGGCTTCAGAATTAAAGTGTACTATAGATTTATCAGTGATGGCTGCATTTCTTTGTCAAAGTTGATGGAAAAAAATTTGTACATCAACAACATCATCTCCAGTATGTTCTTCTACATTAGACAGTGATGAATTGCAATATGATGTCAATTCTAAAATAGCTGCTTTAACTTGTTCTTTTTTTTCATCATTTTAAATGCTAATAGCTTAGAGTGTGGATCCAAGATAGCAGATATTTGAGATGTGTGATCTAAATAGGCCAATAGTCTTTGAGTGTATTGTAGATGCTATTAGCAGCTACTGACTGAGTGAAAAACTCATTCTCAAGGTTTTCTAATATTGCCAAAAAACATAGTCAGATGTCTCCATGCATGGGATATTTTGATGCAGAGAGGAAAAGCATAGCACATTCAATTGGCTCTAACAATACAATAATATTATGAATATCCTGTAATCCAGATTGTGATAAATATCGATCTCTTACACTAGGATTATCAGCCTGGAGCATTTGAAGTGTTGGTTGTAGATGTTCAAAATTCTTCAACATATAGTATGTGGAATTCCATTGGGTAGGACAATCCATTACAGGAGCAAGATAATTGATTTCTTTAAGAATGCATAATGCTTTTAAAGATGTAATAGTCAGTGCAGAGGATCATACATAAGTCATTATACTTCAGACTTTTCTGATAATTTCACTGATTTGTTGAAGTCCTTGTTGAACTGAAGATTAAGTATGTGAGCCACACATTGATAGTGAGTGAAGGGGTTGCTGAAATTATCTGCAAGCTTTTTTGCAATTGTTCTCCCACAAACTAACATTGCTGATGCATTGTCTGTTGTCAATGCTAATGCTTTATTACTGAGATTATGCTCCCCCAATACATTAATTATAGTCTCAGCTACAGTGGACTTTTTCCAAGTGCAAGTTGTTGGGACCAAAGCTGATGCCTGCACTTAGAGAGAAGCCTGCACTTAGGGAGAACCAGTAATATTGAATTTATGTGGGTATATTTGTATACTTTATTTGCTACTAGACTGTAAATTTTTAATAATAAATCAACAAACAACAGACCTGAAGAAAGTAACACAGATGTTGCAAAAAGTGGTAAATACTCAAAACTGTTACTGGAATTCTTTATCAAGAGCATTAGAGCTGAGAGATTAGTCTTCAGATATATTCAACAGCTTTGCACACTGTTTCACTTTCTCTTTTAAGATTTCATCAGTTAATATTAATATTAATGTGACATGAGTTTGATACTTGTACATTGCATTTTCAAGATCAGGATATTGGACAGCTCTTGATCTTTTGGTATTAGAGACCTTTTCACATTCCTTAATGTCATTTCACTTCAGTAAACATCTGACAGTCATTGGGTTGATGTCTAAATTTACATGGGTAGCATTAGGGTTACTTATACTGTCTTTGTACTTGAAAACAAGCAATTTTTGCTTGCTTGTTAATGTAATTTTGTAGTAATAATAATAATCCAGTACTTAAACGGAAATGATCTATAAATTTGATTGGCTGTTTATTGAATCATGCACTTAGGGAACATTTTTACATATAAGGGGCCAACAAATGTCATGCACTTATAGAATAGGGAGAACCTGCATAGGTCCCAACATGGGACCAGATTATTTCCTGCACTTAGATAATGCACTTAGGGATCATGCACTTAGGGAGAGTCCACTGTATATTTATCCTGTATGGCACACTGCCATTGGAATGGAATAATGTCTAATAAAAATGTCTTAAATACCCACTCTCCATCTATATGATGAATTGTGAAACTCAGGAAAGCTGCATTGTTCTTTGCAGTTCACATATCTGCTGTGAAAGATGCTTTCCTGGAATTCGACTGACTATTGTTTTTATTAATTGTCTTTTTTCTTCATATGCTCCCATTATTTGATCATGAAGAGTATGCCAATTACGAAATTTCTATCTTGGATCTAATGTAAAACCCATTTCCTGCCATCTCAACTACACTAAATGATTGCAGATCACAGATTACCCACTTTTTAATCCCCTTGTCTCTCTTTTTCTGTTCAATCATAGTAATAGGATGGGGGTCAGTCTGATATTCATGAAGTGTTCATTGCTGTTTCTTAGGTGCCTTGATAGAGTGTGTACTCAGGTGTTTTCATAATGTAGATACACCAGAATTGATTGAGAATACAGCCTTGCATATATTACACCAGGGTGGGTCAGTAATGTTTTATCAAAAATGAGTCTGTTTAGTCTTAGTTGTATTTGATGTTAGTGTAGAGGATGTGGAAGATGATGATACACTTGGAACATTTGAGATAGTCTTCAGTTCTTAGTTCATCCAGTTCATCATCAAATTCATGCTTGTCATGGTCATTGTCATGATTCATCCTTATATACTGTTAGGTACTGTATGTGTATATAGGCAGATAGTATGTACACTACCCTATCAAATGTATCCAGTCAATCAATAAAAATTATATTTGATTATACACTACCTGGACAAAAGTATTGGCCACCCTTGCTTGCAATACATGCTTCGACCCTTCTAGGCATACTTTTAATTAAATTCATTAAAACATTGTTGGGAATTTGGCTCCATTCCTCCTGTAATGCTGTCTCAAGCTCCCTTACATTTTTAGGCAAAGTCGAACGGTTTCTAATGCGTCTTTCCAGTTCTGACCATAAATGTTCAATAGGGTTCAAATCTGGTGATTGGCTTGGCCAATTAGGTAAAGTTCTGATCTTCCTTTCTGCAACCCATTCATTAACATCTTTTGCAGCGTAAATGGGGGCATTGTCATCTTGAAACAAATACCCCTTTTTCACCAAAATCTCTATTAATCAATGGTAATAAATGGGTCTTAAGTATTTGAATATAATCAAATCTGTCCATTTTTCCTTCCACTTTCACCAATGGGCCTAAGCCTTTACCAGAAAAACAACTCCACACCATCAAACCTCCACCCCTATGTTTAACTGAAGGAGCCATGTTTTCTATATTAAATTTTGCTCCAGGAGTTCCCCAAACACGACCTGGACTATCATTCTTGAATATTGTAAAGCGACTTTCATCACTCCAGATACCAGACTTCCATTTTCGAATAGACCAATCCTTTCTTTCAATATACCGGTTTAGGCGATTTTCTCTTTGCCGATCAGTAAGGAAGTCGGAATGCGAGAAAAAAATTTAATTTTGTGTAGATTTCTCCTAATAGTTTTAGTAGAAACATCGGGTCCGGTTCTTTAATTAAACAGTTTTTTGAGTTGTTCGGCAGATTTTTTGTTGTTTTGCTTAACAACCCGTTTTAATACTTGCTTATGCTCAAAATTTAAAAGTTTTGGGCGGCCACT